CATTTAGGTCTTTCATCCAGTTTGATTTTATTTTGTGTATGGTGTAAGAAAGTGGTCCAAGTTCATTCTTCTGCATGTCGCTGTCCAGTTTTCCCAGCACCATTTGCTGAAGAAACTGTCTTTATTCCATTGGATATCCTTTCCTGCTTTGACAAAGATTAGTTGGTCATATGCTTATGGGTCCATTTCTGGGTTCTCTATTCTGTTCCACTGATCTGAGTGTCTGTTCTTGTGCCAGTACCATACTGTCTTGATGATTAAAGCTTTGTAATACAGCTTGAAGTCCAACAAGTCACATTAAAGTTACTGAAATAATAATTTTTTTAGAGGTATCATGGTTTGATGACAATTTTCCCAGTGAAAATAGCATCCATGAGTAGAACTATCTTTCCAAGACCATAAAATATCTGACTATGCTAATATAGAAATAGCTTTAATAAATGTTTATTTGGTTTGAAGTCAGAATATATTAATTTCAACCAAGCTGGTGATGGTTCTCAGAAAAAAACAAGGCAAAATCTCAAGGCAAAATAATAACAACAACAACCACAACCCTCCCCCAAAAGCACCAGAAGGAAAAATATTTAAAGTGCTGTTAAACTCACAAATTTAGGATAAAATCAAAGTACTCAAATTCTACTACCAAGGAAAGCCTATATCAAATTAAAGCTTCATTCCAGAAACTACTTTATCAGGGATCCCTGGTGTTTTAAAATAGATACTTACAGAAAAGTTCAGAAAGTTACACTCATAGGAGTAAACTGAGCTAGAAGTACAAAACTAACTCAGTATCACAATCTTGCATTCACAGAATCATTATAGATATGATGTGAAGGTTCTTAGATGTTTTAATTATTAGTCCTATTTCATGAGGAAATCATTTGCTATACTTACATTTAAAAACAAGGAGATTCTCCTGGACATTATTGCTCTTTGTCAAATGTTTATTGTATGAGTGAAAGAGGGTAATTTACTTTTAAGCTGCTAATATTACAACAGGGATCAATTCATCTGATTATTTTTTTTCCAGATCATTAGGGTAAATAGCTGGGAACTAGGATGTTGGGGGGGGAGGGGGAAGAAATATAAGAGGAAATGGATGGGACCCCAAACTCTGTACATTATCAGTTTCTCTTGGCATACAATTTCAACAAAATGCGTCAGAGTTAGAAACACTCTTAAATATGAAGCTGCCTTAAACTCACTTTGGAAAAAGGCATGCCATAGATAAATAAATGACATGTAAGCATATGTCATTCTAGTAGCTAATATTATTTATATTAACACTGTCAGATACATGAAGATGTTTTTCAGATTTCTGGTCAATGACAATCCTGGCTACTGCTTTAGCACTATTTTATATTTGATAATGCTATTTATATATTGGTCTCTTTTATGTTAGCAAGTTTCACTTCTTAAGAAGCATACTGGCTTATTTTCAAATTATGATTTCTTATAAACAAAATGCAAACAGAAACAGAACATTCATTTTCAATGTTTTTATTCCCCTTTATATTTATTAATTCATTACTATTCAGAAATAAATATTAAAATGCAACTCACTGTCTTGTTCTGTGAAACCAGGTCAAAGAACTATATTAAAGCTTGTTATAAAGTCCATAAATAGTTTTGGGTAGGAGGACAAAACTTACTGTTCAGAACATTCTCCAGTTTTTGCGTCATGGATCCTTCTACTTTTTCCGTTCCATCCGCTTCTAGCTTTTGATGGATAGCTAGAAAAAACATCTAGTTAAAGTGTGGGCTATTTTAGTGGGTGGGAACACATTACATCAAAATGACATTTTTAAACAACTTTAAAAACAAAAAAAGGTCATATTATTTTCACTGCTGGAAAGAAGCACAAACATGAAAAAACTCTGCAAAGTAACCAGCAGACACCAGTCTAAGTTATTCACAGATAAACACTATTAAAATAGTACATAATACATATACTCAAATCATCTGATAATCCAGGCTAAGTGGTAAACACAGTTAAATTAAAAAAGAAAAATGAGATGTAAGTAACTAATATCTTTGATATTTGGCCACAGGAAAGTCATTTTTATTTCTCAGTTTTACCATCTGCAAAACAGAAATACTAGTATTTGAAGTCTACCAACCTCAAAATATTTCATTTCAGCCTTGGACATAAAATGGCAAAACACATATTATTCATGTTCTATTCATTCTGTTATTACTTCCTTGGAAGTTCTCAAGATCTATCTAGTAATATCTAACAATATATCAATTTGTGGATATACAAATGACATTGGTGTTTTTTGCTATTGATATATGTCTGCATGGTTCTGATACACATTATGAAAAATAACTTTATATTTTAAAACTGCTTTACCTACTAGAGGGTAGGTTTTATTTTATTTATTTTTTTTTTTAAATTTTTTTTTTCAACGTTTTATTTATTTTTGGGACAGAGAGAGACAGAGCATGAACGGGCGAGGGGCAGAGAGAGAGGGAGACACAGAATCGGAAACAGGCTCCAGGCTCCGAGCCATCAGCCCAGAGCCCGACGCGGGGCTCGAACTCACGGACCGCGAGATCGTGACCTGGTTGAAGTCGGACGCTTAACCGACTGCGCCACCCAGGCGCCCCTAGAGGGTAGGTTTTAAACAGAGCAAATCAAGCTTATCTAGGTAAAGTATTAAGAAAATTTACAAAATGAAATAACCAAATACAATTTCAAATCAAAACTGTGACATAATAAAAATAATAAAATTAGAAAGGCAAACATTAATTGAGCCATGACCATAAGTTAAGCACAATCATAAATTTCTAATGAATATTGTTCATCTGGCAGGAAGTCAATGAGGCATGTTCTAATATTTTTATTTCATAGATGAGAAATTACATGGCTCAGTGATACTAAATAAGTTGACCAACTTCACAAAGCCAAACCCAAAATTTGAACTCGAGCTGTCTAGTCTCAGAACAAAACTTCACCCCATACTGATTATATGCACAGGCAAGCGATTTAACCTGTGTAAGCCTGTTTTCACATTTATAGAATGAAAAGGATAGACTTACTATGTTAGTTGGGAACTGCATTCAGATGCAAATAAAAGATATCTCTCTTCCAAATAATAGCTGCTAAAACACCCAGGATTTTATTGTTTCACATAACTTCCTTGGCAAAAACTCAAATGTAACATGTGTAACTCCAAGGGCTTCACAGCCAGTACAATGAAATTACATCACTCTTACAGTCCTTATTCTCCAACATTCAAATAGCATGTCAAACTCTTCTTAAAAGGAATTAACAGGTTCTGCCTCAACCCATCAGTCAAGCATGGTAGATTTGAGGGAGTGGGGGGTCTGCTTAAGAAAAAAAAAAAATGAAGTGTTTTGTTTTAATCACAATTTGATTTGTTTCCCTTGACTCATTGATTAGAAAATTCTGGGCAAATTCAGTGTTCAAATGCAGTATAAAAATATTCTCAATGCATAATAACATCTATTTCTCTCCTTCTTTAATTACTTCCTAATTTTGATCCTGCCTTTTTTTTTTTTTTTTTTTTTTTTTTTTTTTAGAGAAAGAGAAAGCACAAATACGAGCATGAGCGGGGCAGAGACAGAGAGAAAATCTTAAGCAGACTCCATGCTCAACACAGAGGCCCAATGCAAGGCTTGATCCTACAACCCTAGGATCATAACCTGAGCTGAAATTAAGAGTAGGATGCTCAACCGACTGAGCCGCCCAGGAGCCCCTGCCCATTTTTAATACCTTTTTTAAAGCAATTTCAAATTGTGTTTGAAATTTATAAACAGAACGCTTCTGTTAGAGAAACACATTCAGAGAGAGAAAAAGAAATACATTTTGAAAACAAAGTCAGCCAGTATATTCTTAATCGTCTTGGTTGATTCAGGAGTGAAAAGAAAGTTATTTAATGCTCCAAAATTGGATTATGCAGTAATAGCAACATAAAATGTTTCCACATATTAAAACCTAAACTTAACTTGAACTCGTTAAATGGAAAAGAACTTCCCTATCTTTAAAGAAAAGAGATAAAAATGCCCAAATATAAAAAATAGAAACTAAAAAGACTACTCACACTATTTATTTAAATGCTGGTGTAATTTTCTGACAATCTTGCTGCAAAAGAATATATGGCATACATTGCATTTTATTAAGGGGGCATTGCAAATGGCTCTTCCATGGCAATAAGATATTGCATTTTACAGTAGCCTTGCTTCAAATGTTGCTTTCTAAGTCAAAACCGTTAAAAACCATGCAGCCACATTTCTGTTGCTGACAAAACCCATCACTGATCAGCAGGTCAAAATGAGGTAAGTCTGGCTCCCCTCAGCTCAGTTTACAACCTTTTTATGCTGACAAAGCAGCTTCCTGCCACCCATCTCCAGCACAGCAGAGTCACTGTCAAGCTGTCAGCCAAGCATGAGGACCAGGAGACACTGGATCTGATAAAGGCAATCCTATTTTCCAGAAAATTAAACCAAATAACCCAATGTCTGGTTCACTTGACCTTTTATTTTCTCTAAAAACATTTTTAAATAGTATAACTCAATAAGCAACTTGGTACATGATCACAGGTTTGTTATTGTTTCTAATATATTAAAACTTAAATATGTGAAACAGTTGTACACCATAAAATTGTATTTGGGAAACAAAAAAGTATGTATATAAAAGTTCTATTCAAAGAAAATTCAGAGTTATAAAAAGACTGCCTATTGATTCACTGAAATTTGTTTTATTTAACTCTCTAATTAAATGTGGACATCAAATTTGCAGATTTCAATAAAAAAATTCATAGCATTTGTCCATACATTTATATAATGCCATTATTAAATGAGGCACTAGAAATGATACGTGTGTATAGCAATGTCTGTAAGATTTAATGTCAGGTACACTGTGATCTACACACTCTAACCACTATATATTACTACTAGCCTATATGAGACAGGAATATTCAAACTAGGTCAAAGACTAGCAAACTATTTCTTTTCTTTTTTTTTTTTTTAATGTTTGTTTATTTTTGGGAGAGACAGAGCACGAGCAGGGGAGGGGCAGAGAGAGAGGGAGACACAGAATGCGAAGTAGGATCCAGGCTCCGAGCTGTCAGCACAGAGCCCAACACAGGATTCAAACTCATGAACCACAAGATCATGACCTGAGCCCAAGTCAGATGCTTAACCGACTAAGTCACCCAGGTGCCCCACCAACTATTTCTATAAAGAACCACATAGTAAATATTTTAGGCTTCATGGGCCACATAGGGCCCCTATCACATATTCTACAACTGCTTCCCTCTTTTTTTTTTTTTTTTTTTTTTTTTTTTTTCCTCTCACACAAACCTTGAAAAACACAGCCATCTTTAGTTCCTGGCCTGTACAAAGACAGAAAATGGCCAATCTGGCCCACACACCAACCTCTGAGGATAATATTTACTAAAATAGGAGACTAGGAAGAGTTAAAATGAGATCTCTTAAAAATTTAAATTTGTAAAGAACTTTTCAAACATTTAGTTTTTACTTACACCAAATTTTTATGAGTGGCTAAATTATATAAATTACATTTAAATAGGCCAGGTAACCTGTGAATCATTTCCTCAGTTACACTGGGAAGAAAAACAATAATGAAATAATTGCGACTATTATACAGAAGGCTAATAAGTATAAAGGATTCTCACTTAGATAACTGGATCCTAGACAACCATACCTGCCTAAATAACCTTCAGATATCAACAGACACTAATAACAGAATGTGCCAAAAAATCAGTTATGGCTACACTGTCTCAAGTAGCAGTAACAAAAGTAACATGGGAGGGAAGGTCAATTGTGTATCGAGCACCATGTGTTATTTACTCTGCTTCGGCCTCTTAGTTATTCTTTAGTATAACATGAATAAAAATAATTCATACAGTTTTGGTCCATAATTGTTCTCAAAAAAAGCAAGTGATAATGTTGGACTTGCCCATAAAAACAAGAGACCAAACAGGTGAAAAGCTCAAGGGGCAGTCAGGGAAATGTTCACCAAAACAAAGATGACAATCAGAAGGCACTGAGAAGGGGTGCCTGGGTAGCTCAGTTTGTTAAGCGTCCAACTTCGGCTCAGGTCATGATCTCACAGTTCATGAGTTCAAGCCCTATGTCAGGCTCTGTGCTAACAGCTCAGAGCCTAGAGCCTGCTTCAGATTCTGTGTCTCCCTTCTCTCTCTGTTCCTCCCCCGCTCACACTCTGGTGTCTCTTGCTCTCAAAAATAAATAAGCATTAAAAAAAAAAAAATTGAAGAAGGCACTGAGGAAATGAAGAAGGCCTTTAATAATATGAAAAGCTCCACAAACATCACCGTGGCCTGCGAGAACTGGTGTGAACTCATATCTGGTAAGAAACTATATGTCTCATCAAGACTTCAAAGGATTGAAGGGGCGCCTGGGTGGCTCAGTCAGTTAAACTTGATCTCAGCTCAGGTCTTGATCTCAGGGTCATGAGTTCAAGCACTGTATTGGGCTCTGAGCTGGGTGTGAAGCCTACTTACAAAAGAAAACAAACAAACAAACAAACAAACAAACAAACAAAAAAGTACTTCAAGACTTCAAGGGATTAAAAGAGAATGGCAGGGTGACTGCCATGGAAAAGTAACACAAGATGCTGGGAATATCTTTGCAGAACATAATAAAGTAAAAATTACAATAAATATACTGAGGTTAACACTGGAAGTTATACCAGACACACTAGTCAAGTTCTAATTAAAATATTTATGGATACACACATGAAAAAAGAAAATTGACAATAGCATAAATACTTCAAGATAAATAAAGGCCAGACAAGAGGGCAACAGCCACTGTTTACCTGACTGGGATGGCCCGAAAAACACCCTTGGATACATATCGAACAGTCTACTTAATCAAAGAGAAGAACACAGATGATACCAAAAAAAAAAGAAGAGTAAGGTGTTTATTTATACTCTGTCATCTCTATCTAGCCTAATTCTGACACAACGCATCTTCTAATTTTTTTATAACTATCTTCAGGACTATAATTCTGCTCCCCCATTTTTCTTACTTCTAACAACTCCCTTCTCTTTACAATATTTAGAGACCACATTTCCTAACACCCAGTATGGCAGGAAACAGAAGAAAACTAGTTGAGGCATACTACTATTGGGCAGCATACTGAAAAACAGAAAAGGTACTGGGTACCATATAGGAGAGCAGAAAGAAAGGAATACTATTTCTATACAAGGCCATTCAGAAACAAACCATAAATGATAGTTGACACAACAAAAGAAAAGTGTTGAAAACTGCAGGTATGGGTCTACAGATTCTAAAAGCTTATCAAGTATTGGGAAAAATGAATAAAGACAAGACCTACATTCTAATATATCCTGAAAGGCACTTGGTTTTTTTTAATTCAAGTCAAAACAAATATATCTTTTAATCATTTAGGGAGAGAGAAAAACATCAATTCATCTATAAGTAATAAAGAATTACACTGGCTCAGGACTTCTCTCTATAACACTAAAAGATACTGGATCAATGTTTTCAGAAAATAATTCTGTATGAAGCAAGACACATTTCCAGATATGCAAGAATTCAAAAGCTCTAGCACAAAACATATATCCCACTGTTCAAAAAATTCAAAGATAGAAAAGATGAAATGTAAAATGACTGGCAAGAAACATTAAAGCCAATTAAATTTATGTGAATAGATGGTAAATTTTAATTAACTGCAGTAAATGTGTTATAAAATGAAATGCAAAAACAAAAATAATTGAGAAACATAATAATGAAATGGAAAAGAAAAGGTAAAATAAAAAGCTATAACTCCAGATTAAATTAAGACCAGAAAAAAAGGAAAGAGCATGAGAAATATAGATGTCCTGAACCGATGTTATACACAACAGGAGGCAAAAGGCAACCTATAATAGAATTTAAAAACATTTCTTGCCAATGTGCAACAACATGGTCTATATAGCACAGAAGGAAAAATGAAAACCGAAAAATATAATAGAACAATAAAAACAAAAAGACAAAAATGTCAGGATAAATGTATATGGCTTGAATTTTTCTATTAAAAGGCAAAGACTCCCAAACTGGTATAAAAATATAAAAATTCTACCATATGTTGCTTACAAGAGAAATGGTAAAATCAAAATTTCTAAAGGTTAAAAAGAATATGATGTATAATATATTAGGCAAATGCATATATAATATTTCATATTAATATAATCGCATACTAAAGAATTTAATCTTACCCAAAAAGAGGTCTGGCTTTTGTCTTTAGCTTCTGAGAGGTCACCTCTAAGCTTTTCAAATTCTTACCTGATGAAAGTATCTTTGTTTACTTGGGAGCCTTGAGCTATACCAGATAGTGTAACAACGTAATTTACAGTGAAGACTTTGGGTCACTCCATATCAGCTTGACCTCCAGAGGGACCTCTAGATGGAGGTCAGCCATTGGAGCAGTCAACTATGTCTATGTGACAGAGCTCTAATAAAAATTCTGGACACCAAGGCTTGGATGTTATTCTCTGGTAGGCAGTACTCCATGTACACTGACTCACATCATACCAGGTAAATCAACGTTGTTTATGACTCGACCGTGAGAGGGCAACTTTCACTCCATGCACAGAACTTTCCTGGACTGTGCCTCATGAATCTTTTCCCTTGGTTGATTCTAATCGATACAACTACCAATACCCACCCCACTGGGGAACCCACTTGATCCATCACAGTGTCTCTACAGGAAAAACATGCAGACACTAAAGGCCTCCTGAAATAATAACACAGGAGTACACAGTACCATATATGACCAAAAATGTTGAAAACCAAATCTAATGTCCAAATAAGTCCAAGCAATACAATGGAAACTAAAATAAATTAAATAACACCATGAGGAAGTAATCAGTCAAATCCAGAGTATGGGATATCCTATAGGACAAACAGCCTCATGTCTTCAACATATCAATTACATGGGGGAAAACAAAAAGTCAAGGTAGCAAAGGTAAGGGTATTCTAGTCTAAAAGAGGCTTAAGAGACTTAAAAAGACAAATGAAATGCTTGGACCTTATCTGAATCTTGATTTGGACAAACCAACTATAAAGAAAGTTGGTGGGTAAATGGGGAAATTTGAGTATGACATGGGAATTAGAGGATATTGAAAAATTACTGAAACTTATTTTGGCTGTAATAACAGCATTGTGGTTATGCAGGTAAATGTCCCTATTTGGGTGGGAACCATATACTAATGTATATAGGAGGGAAATGTCATGGAGCTTTAGACTCACTGCTTGAGATCAGCAAAACACAACCAACCTCAAAAAATATCACTGAAGCAAGTTTGAAAAACATTACTAACTTAAATCTGACAGTTATACAGGGGTGACTGTACTATTCTACTTTTAACATGTTTGACATTTTTCAAAACAGAAAAGTAAAACAGATTACCTGAGCAAATAATTTATTAGTTCTTTCAATGTATTAGCTCTTTCAAATTTCCAACTGATAATTCCTACTTTACATAACCCATCACATAGTACCTACATATATACATATACAGATTCAAATGCTTCTGTAAAACACTAATACCAAAACCTGACCAAAAAAGCATTTCAAAAAACTACAGATCAATTTCACTTAAGACTATAGTCAGAAAATTTTCTAAAGAGCTACCAACAAATCAAATGCTATAGTATATTAAAATAATTACCCAAAGGAACACTCTAAAGAGTAAAGGAGGTTTCTAGCATACACAACTGAATATACAATGCAACTCCAATTTTGTAATATGGACTCATATAGGCCAAGAGCAAAAAGACCAAAAGAAAATACATCAAAATGTTAATGTAATTATCTTTACAATGGTATTAAGTAGTGTCTGTTCATTACTTATTTACTGTCTTTTTGTAATATGCATTTCATTTACATTAAAACACAGAAAAGCTAGATATGTGTGTAGCTAAAATCTTGGAATTTTATTATTAAAATCACTTTCTATATGCTATAGAGTCACCTGCTTATATGATTAAGCAATTGGTCAGAATTATCTTTGTTAAATGTTAAGTTACCAATATACTTAGGTGAAATAATTTTAAATACAATAATTTCTGAGAACTGCTAATCACCTATGGCAAATTATCATTTACATAGCTACTAGGGAATTACTAACCTAATTCTGCTTGATGATGCTAAACTCTGTTCATATATGCTCAGGTTTCTATTGTTAATATAGTAACATTAGTAACTTAAGACAGAATATCAATAAGCACAAAGAACGAAAGAAAAGCATCCCACCAAAAAATACAGGGCACAGAGTGTTTATCAAAGAAAATTATCTAATTTCTGTTCCTGCTAGGCATTCACATTTTGCTCCTTCAAAAACCTAACTTCTACCTAACAAGGAAAGAGCTGTATCAGATGCACATTAACTTCCCAGAAGTCATCTATGCTTGTTTGACCCAGGAGAAGGGTTTTAGAAACAGTAACAGGATGTCTGTACTTTGAGAATACAAATTAATAAAAAAAATTAAGTCTTACTGAATTAAAGGAAGTGTGGCTTCTTAGTCTACACTTAAAAGTGCTTATGTGCAGGTACTTAGTTATAGGTATATTTGTTTTTAAAAAGAATTAGGCTAACTTTTATTAATATTTTTTACTAAACAGTAATTTGATTTCTATTAATTAAAGGTGATTTAAGGGGTGCCTGGGTGACTCAGTCAGTTAAGCATCAGGCTCTTGATTTTGGCTCAGGTCAGTGAGATGGACCCTGATGCATCTGGCTCTCCTCTGACAGCACAGAGCCTGCTTGGAATTCTCTCTCTCCCTTGCTCTCTGCCCCTCCCCCTGCCCAGCAGGCACACACATGTGCTCTCTTGCTCTTTCTGTCAAAATAAATAAATAACTTAAAAATTAAATAAATAAAGTTAATTTTAGGTGAGAAAAAACCCTACCCAACATCTTTTCCATGATATGTCTAAAACTATGCTATATCTATTTAATATACTTGCTCCCCCATATAAAGATGACAAAATGGATGGTGGACATTTAACTATTGTGTATAAGGTTCATGGGGTGATAGCTGAAAAGAATGACACATTATCATCAGTCCTTACCACACACCAAACACACAATGGATCACATTTACAGAATTAGTCACATGTGTAAGATATTGATGGATATAAGAGGATTTTTAAAATTCGAGAATTTTACCTATTGGGATTTAGTTTCTTATCAGCCCTGGAGATTGGGCATTGTGGGAAGGCAAAGTAGTCTCCTATTTCACATATGTACAACGGGTCAACAAAAGCCTCAGAGACAAATATTTAAAGTACCAAGCCTTCAAAGAGATTCCAGCCTGGTCTGCAACAAATATTTATGGCACATTTTAGATCTCTACTTTTATAAATACAGACTGAATGTCACACCCTGTAAACACTCTGCAAACACAGTGTTGGGTTTCTGTTGTGGAAGCCCCAGCAGATGGCTCTGAGGGTCACCTTACCTGAGAGGGCATCCTGGGCTTCAAAGAAAGTACTAAGACCTCCTTTCACATATGCCAAGCTGCCTTCACTTTTCTTGTTAGCCTGTCTCTTCAAGTTGGTGACTGCCATTTTAAGCTGTTCAAAACTGAAATGAAATTAAGAAACCAAAAGTGTGAGACTCCTAAAAAGCAAAAAAGAAATCAGATAATGCATTAAACGTGAAATACTGAAGCCTAAGTTAAGAAAGACATAGATTGACACAAGATGTAACCAGATTAAAACAAAAAGCTTTCAAATTCTTACCTACATCTAAATTTATTTATTTATTTATTTATTTTATTTTATTTTTTTTTTAAGAGAGAGTGCAAGCAGGGAAGAGGAGCAGAGGAAGAGAAAGAGAGAATCTTAAACAGGCTCCATGCTCAGTATGGAGTCCGACACGGGGCTCAATCCCACACCCTGGGATCATGACCTGAGCCGAAATCAAGAGTAGGACATTCAACCGACTGAGCCTCTGAGGCACCCCTACATCTAAACCCTTTTATTATAAATAACAAAATTACAGCAACTATAAAACAGATCTGTAGCCCTCAAATGGTCATTCCAAATGTCAGACCCCTAAGAAATGAACATACATATAAATATTTCTATAAATAATATGTATCATATATATGATTTGCCAGGTAAGGAGTCCTGAATATCATGTCCCTTTCCACAGACCTAGATCAATGCAGTGGTTATCTATCTAAGGCAGAACTCTTCTGTATGTTCATTTCTGTGTCCTATATCAAAATTAACCGTATCATGATTCACCACATCAATATCCAGTCCTCTGTCATTAACAGTGAAATTATAGAAAAACCTGGGGGGGTGGGAGCGGGGGCAGTCAACTCAACAATTTAAATAACTAAAAAGACCAAAATATTTTATCTCTACATCTCAAGCAGAGAAAATTGGTAGATCTCTATATTTTTTTATTTCCAGCTGGGCTAAGAAAATCTGGCTGTAAAAACAGAGATCAATTCTGAAATACAGTAATAGAAAAAGCACATCTGTGATGTAAAATTAGAACCATCTTCTGCAATTAAAGATTTGACATTCCCTTTAAAAATGTATCAGGATTCTCTCTCTCTCTCTCTCTCTCTCTCCACACACACACACACACACACACACACACACACACACACACACACACACACGCACACCAATGTTTCCTCATGTTTTCTAATGGTTTTCACTCTAACTGGTGAAGGAAAAATTTCTCCTAAGGTGTATTTTAACAAATTAACTTTTCAGGAATGTAAATTTTTAGCAATAAACCATTCATTTATTCAAACACTGTTACTAAATTTAATTGCTGCAAAAAAGTTACAAACCTACTCTTATCAAGAGTGTGGCAAAATGTAATTAGCAGACAATAAGGAGCACTTTAATTTGGATATAAGACCTTGACTATTTTTGGCTAATTTTAAGGCAAGTCTTTGCAAAATGATAAATCAAATCATCTTCCTTTGCTCTATAGTCAGGAAAAGAAGTATGTTTACTATTTTACACCAGGACTTGAAAGTTTTGTTATTTGAATAGAGAGAGATCACATCAGTTTAGGTACCCAGATGAGACTCCACAAAGTTTTAATGGGTTGCACAAATATGAATCATACAGAAACAAGATGGCAGGAAACAAGGGACTGCTAATTATTAACAACATTTCATAAATAGGAGAAAAGATACCCTGAGATATTCATGAGCTCACCCAAAGTCAAAGGGCTCCTACGTGGCAGAGGCCAGCCTAAATCCCTTTGTATCATATAATCCTATTAGGTACAACCACATGAAACAATAGTCCAACATCCACTGACCTGGTAGTTGAGTGGTTTTCTATAAGATACCAAGCAGCTGAAAAATTCTCACTTGTAAAATCAGCACTCATTCCAGGGAACAGCATTTCTAAGTCCTTCTGGGGAAATTTACTTCTAAGGGAGAAAAAAGATTTAAAATATACTTCAAATGCTATTACTACAATAATGTAACAGACATCCGAGAGTACCTAATGTAATAAACAGGACTACAAACCATTAAAATTATACATCTTACATTATGGAGTCTATATTTACATGTGTATACAAAATATATTTCCTACACCTCAGCTCATTTCTTATTATATAAACTTAATGTATATGTAAGAAATTAGTTAAAATACAGAAATTACATCAATATAGAATTTAAAGAGGCTGAGTTGATACTTTATGACATCTATCCAAATATGCAATCATTCTCTATTCAATGAATAAAAATCAAAATTTGTATACACTGAAATTTAAACATTAGTTTGTTAAAATGGTTTTTGTTAAAGACTTATATGAAAGTTGTTTTAAAACATACTAAAGCCTATTAATAAAAATTAGAGCTAATTAATAAAATAATTATATTTATACTTCTATGTCTATATCTAGAATAATTTTAAGAAAAGCTTATAACAGGCAATCCCCTATCTGTAGCTGACTTTATTGCCTACATTTTTAAGGTCAACTTCCGGATCATTTCATTTATGTATCCATTCAAATAATAACTAAATACTAACTATAGTTCAGGCTCCATGCTGGAAGTCAGACAGTTGTATCTAAGAGCAAAAGTAGTATGGGCAAACCCTGTTATGGGCTTATGAGCTAGCAGCCCTCACCATATCCCCAACTCTTCATCTGTAGAGGATAAAGTCCAAGTTCTATAGTCAAGTCTCTCCATGATTCAAAACTGCTTACCTCTCAGGACTCATTTCTGCTCATCTAATCCTCAAAACTGGGAGATTCAGTAACTTCAAAGGGATTACACTTTCTTGCATACATCATGTTCATTTTCACTTCACTCCTCTGATCTTGGTGTCCTTTATGACTGAAGTGTGGTCCTCAACCCCATACACTGGATAAGCCAAACTCATGGGATATGGACGGGACACAGCACTGTTTCATAGCCCAGTGTATTCAGGGTTGTGGGGAGCCATTTGGGGGGGGGGGTGCAGAATTATCACCACCCTGTAAGAAAAGGTGAGCAGGTGCAATGACTTCTACTCACTCTTATCTGAGAGAGACTTGATTTCACATTATTATGAACACAGCCTCAATTCAGAAATCACGTAGTGTGGTCCAAGATCAGCACTCCATCTTTACCAACAACAACTCTCTGATGGAGCTCCTTGACTTACAAGTGACCTTACATACAACTTACAATGGACTGGGGCCTACTCTCTAGTGAGGTGCTCATCTTGTCCCAAGAAACATCTTTCCCAGGGCAGACACCTCTACTGTCTATGTGCACTGTTCCTGTGCTCTCAGGTGCCAGGATCTCTGTTTCACAAATGCAGGGAACACTCCATGGAAGCCACACTCCCCAGTTATGAGTTAAGAAAAGCAGATGTGGGGCGCCTGGGTGGCACAGTCGGTTAAGCGTCCGACTTCAGCCAGGTCATGATCTCGCGGTCCATGAGTTCGAGCCCCGCGTCGGGCTCTGGGCTGATGGCTCAGAGCCTGGAGCCTGTTTCTGATTCTGTGTCTCCCTCTCTCTCTGCCCCTCCCCCGTTCATGCTCTGTCTCTCTCTGTCCCAAAAAAAAATAAACGTTGAAAAAAAAAAAAATTTAAAAAAAAAAAAAAGAAAAGCAGATGTTTGTCATACCTCCCTTTCACAGCCTAGCACAGCTTCTGTCAAAGAATCTCATAAACTCTTCCCCTTCACTCCTGGCTCCCTTCATCCCTTCATAGTCCCTAAAAGGGCAAGGGATGCAAAGAGCAAAACCAGTTCTCTATGATTTCCTTTGTAAACCCTACACTTTAATCTAGAATCCAACATCTATTTGTCAGTAAGTCAGTCAATAGAAAGAGACCCACTTTATTTCCTATTACACTTACCTTTCTCACTATGACATTTTCTTTCTTTTTTTTTAATGTTTATTTATTTACTGGGTGGGGGAGTGCAGGTGGGGGAAGGTGTGCTGGGGGCAGAAGGTGAGGGATAGAGAGAATCCTAAGCAGGCTCCGTGCTGTCAGGGCAGAGCCCAATGTGCGGCTTGTCATGACCTGAGCTGAAATCAAGAGTCAGATGCTAAACCAAGTGAGCCACCCACATGCCCCACAATGTTTTCTTTTTTAATTAGTGGGGAAAAAAAAGCCTTGCTTAGCACTACAGTAACAGACAAAATGAGACTTTAAGAGAATCATGGACATCAAGCTGGCATTACCTCAGTAATCAGTAATTCAGAGAGTAAGTCAATCTCACAGCATTCCTCACTGGCTCCAAAAGTTAGATTATAGTCTGAATCTTCTTGGGGTGCATATGTGTTCCAGAAGCTTGTTGGTCATTTTTACCAGACAGAATCTCTGAGAGGACTCTGGAGAACTCTGCATTTTTAGAAGTTTATTTTGATTTGGATTCTTCTTGCTGGTTTGGTACTTAGTAATAAAATCCTGTCACCTTGGGAAGTTTTTCTCATTTATAAATAAAATGTACATCATGACTCCAAGTTAGAACTTTGGGGGAATATAATGACTGAGTTGAAAGGGCTGAGCCCTACCTAAGTAACTAAAAACACTTCCTTATGATATGCATAGTCCATACTCCCTAGTTCTACCTTAATTGGTGGGCAGTGTCTGTCTAGAGTGTTGTGTCAAAGATCATATGTCTAAACTGGAAAGAAAAGCATAATGAATTAGTGGGGTCTGTCTATGGTGTGAAGGAAAAGTACATGGAGAAATGCCTAACATTTTTTTGTCAACCTTACTTCTTTTTGACACTTAAACTGGTATTCTATGTAGTCCTAACACTTTGCTTGTTCAGAAAGTTGAATGATCTTAACAGAATCAAAAAGTACTACAGAATCATCTGATATCAACTAAATCCCTACTATTAACATTCTTTATCAAGTATTCAACTATGTGAAATTCTCTTCTAACAAGGGTCAGTTCCAAACTCACAGATTAAAGACACAGCTAACAAAAAAGCAGCAAAAGGGGACTCTGAGAAGGCAAACTGAACTTTACCCTTCACGCAAGACCTGTAGTTTTATTATGGTTGCATGGGTTCCCTACCCATAATCAGAGCAGAAGTGTGAAGAGGGATTAACATCAAAAAAGGATAAAAAAAATGCAGACACAAATCCAAAAAATACAGCAGTTGTATGTACTGGTGAAATGGCTGAGACTGCATAGTCCCCATGGGTTTGACATTAAATCACGCTTAACATAGTTTAAAAAAAAAAAAGAAAGAAAAAACTGTTATTTGTCTTTCTCTGTGTGGTATAATGAAATCAAGGTCCATTCATGTTGTTGTAAATGACAGGATATCCTTCTTTCTCGTGGTTGAATAATATTCTACTGTACATATATACAACTTCTTCATCCATTCATCCATTAATGAAGTTAAGTTGTTTCCATACCTTGGCTATCGTGAATAATGCTGCAATGAACATGGGAGTGTAAATATCTCAATATCTTGTTTCATTTTCTTTGGATATACACTTAGAAGCAGAATTTCTGGGTCATAATGGTAGTACTATTTCTAATTTTTGAGGAATCTCCATACTGTTTTCCAGTGTGGCTGCACCAGCCACTTATAATTAATAAAACAAAATAATGTCGAGAGGCGCATGCGCACACACACACATACACACACACACACACACACACACACACACACACACACACACACACACGCAAAAGCTAAAGAAAACATATGGGAGGGGTTGGATGTATTAGTTACCTTGATGGTGGAAATCCTTTCAGAATGTATACATTTATAAACTCATCAAGATGTACACTTTAAATATCTTACAAATTTATCTATCAGTTATGCCTCAATAAAGCTGATGATGTGTAAAAAAAAAAAAAAAAAAAAAAAACAAAAACAAACAAACAAACAAAAAAAAACCTTGGATACACACAGCACATATGAAAAAGGTCACATCCTAAACAGTTAAAATGCTTAAACTGGTGATACTGAACAATGTAAATATGCAGCTATCTACAACTTCCCATATTTAAAATTCATCTAATTCTTACACTTCAATATTTTTTGGTGTTTTATTTTTGGGGGGAGAGACAGAGCAAGAGCGGGGGAGGGGCAGAGAGAGAGGGAGACACAGATCCGAAGCAGGCTCCAGGCTCCACGCTGTCAGCATAGAGCCTGATGTAGGGCTCAAAATAGTGAACTGTGAGATCATGACCTGAGTCGCAGTCGGGTGCTCAACTGACTGAGCCACACAGGAGCCCCCAATTCTGACATTTTAGAAACGTGTCATTTACAATGTACTAAACTGTTATTTCAACAAATATAAATAAACTTGTCTTATCATAAGATAAAAGACTCATGTCTGGTAAGGCTCTAGGAGGTAAACCATTAAGAAACTCTCCTACTCCAGGACACCTCCATATCGCCCTCCTCCTCAAGAGGGAGCAGAAATGGGCCTGGCCACATTATTAATAGCGGAGTTTCTTGGTGATAAAGAAAAGCACATGGGACATGGCCAGGTTTCCACAGGCTTTGCACCCTCATCTCCTCAATCATAGGCACATCATGCCACTGGCAGGGCAAGGGTGAGAGGAAGAGACAGAAGATCTTGAAATGGAGCTTTGGAATTAGTATAAGTGGTAAGGAGGCACTTCGGCTATTTGGAACAGGCTATGTGCTTCTACAAGAGAATTCTATGCTGAGATATGAAGCATTAATCTACCTACTAGTATCTCATTTCTCATGTACTATACTATTATTTCTCATTCACATAGCTTCTTCAGGCACCTAAATGAGTCAGAGTTTGAAAAGTATTGGATCTTTTGGTCAAAATACTATCTCCTCATAATCACCCCTAAGACTGAGTTTACTTTACAGTGATTTCGTACTGAAGACATTAAAACTCATTTACCAATGTTACTATATAAATTCAAATAGGAAGAAGAGTATTGAGACCTACCCTAAGAATCAGAATTATAA